CGGGCGGGGTGGAGAAGAGGGAGAAGAAAAAAAAAAAAGATCCGTTTTCAAAACTGAAAACGTGAAAATGAATACAGGTTTTTTTCATTTTCACTTTTTCAGAAGAGACAAAAACATTTTTGTTTTTGTTTTTCAAAAACTTTTAAGCCAAACACATTTTCAGTTTACATTTTCATTTTTTAGTCTTGAAAAACGTGAAAATTGAAAATGAAAACATAAACAAACAGGCCCATTAATTACCACTAAACAATACTTGCAACCATTCAAACTTTTCATGAAATCATAAAAAATAAAAAATAAAAAATACTTTGTATTGACACCCCTTCAACTTTATAAGTTTGATAATAAAGTCTTTTATTTTTTTTTTTTGGCAATTCACCTCATAAACTTTGAAATTTATTGCAATGTTAGTATAATTGAAAACGAAGTTAAAAATTTAGACTGTATCTTTCACATGAGTGTTTAATAAGTGTAATTAATATCTTTTTACATTAAATTGACTCTTATATACGCATCACGAGCGACATTTTTTTGACAAATTGGGAGTTACCGTTTTGGAGGATAAATTGGTGGTCCTCTAATTTCAAAAAAAAAATTCATTTATGACGTGTATAAAGAGTTCAATTTAATGATTATCATTATTAAACACGCATGTGGAAAACATCGTTCAAATTTTTTAACTTCATTTTTAATTTGACTGATAATACAATAAATTTTAAAATTTACGGGGTGAATTGTCAAAAAAAAAAGAGTTAAAACTAATTTATCAAACTTGTAAAATTAAAAGAGTGTCCATAAAAAAACCCATAAAAAATTGTAGAAAACCGTAAATAGAGTTATTCAATATATATATATATATATGAAAAGAAAATGTCTCTACCAGATCAATCATAACAAACTCCAAAACAATCAGAATCCATGTCTAGTACGTAAATAATATTATTAGCTAATAGTAATATCTCTCGAATAGAAAACATGATAGATATGGGACTTCTAACAGAGTACCGCTTATGATCAGATACCCATTCCAAGGATCCTTCTGCATGCTCATAAGCAAGCTTAGAAACATAAAACTTGCTTCTAACGAAAGTCACCGAAAAACTTGCCTCTTGTTTCAATTTAGTGAAATCCAACTTCTCAGGCTTCACAACAACCCTCACTCCTTCAGGTTGATCAATCTTGACAGTGTAAGTCGAATGAGCTTGTCCAACATTAGTCAAAACCCTCTTGAAAGTGATCTTTTGAGAACCATCAAACTTAAACAAAACAGAAAATGAAGGATAATTCAAGTCCTCTTGAGCAATTTTCTTCCTGTCCGAACAGTTCACTTTCCTCTGCAAGAAAATCCCCACGTTTCTATCTGTGAAATTTAGGCCGCACACGTAAGAATCATAGTCTTCAGGTTTTATGTCGTACACAAGTCCCTGATCATTAGCTCTAGTGGGGCTAACATGGCCTGCGCCGATGGCCAAGACGTTGGCGAAGTTGAGTTTCTCGTCAGGGATCGGCTGGCCTTGCCGGTTTAACGGATCAGCCGTCGTCATGATTGCAGACTTGATTGCCGCCGGAGACCAATCGAGGTGAGAGCTCTTGAGGAGAGCAGCGATGCCGCTCAAATGAGGGCATGACATGGACGTCCCGGAAATGACATTGAACGATGAGATTGGTTGTGCTTCTTGTCGAGAGAGTTGCCAACACCAAACTCAAAATTACCCTAATCTCAGAAAGAAATTAACAAGAACGCAATCAATTTGTTTGATCGAGGTTCGGAGAAATTACTTGTCCTACGTCCCCGTTAAGCTATCCCACAAAGAGTTCTATTCCACTATTAGAGAAGAGATTACACCTTCACAGCTCACCAATCACAAAGAAACCTCACACCCAATTACAAGGAATGATTTCCGGAGAAGAGACCCAAGTGTTTCCCTTAAGAAAATACCAAGTGGGAGATAAAAAATCTATACTACCCAGATTTTCTTGGAACCCAAACACTCTTACAAATTCTCTCTCTCTGTTCCACCGGTGGAGCTTCTCTCGTTACAAATCTGTGGAAAACTGAGTAATTCCACTGACAATACAAGCCCCTCTTTTTATCTAACACAATACAACATTAACTTAGATTAACCTAGATCTAACGGCAGACTTGAGCTCCACGTGTAGAGTGAAGATCTATTCTTCAAAATAGCTGTACCGCATATCCTTCCCTAAGTAAGTGACTTGTCATTTTGGTGAATCCTTCTCCAAAAGAATTGTCGTTTGTGGAATTATTCTTACAAACTCCACCTTAATTTCACAGAATGACAATTTGAATAATTTGCTCCTTGTGGGGTCATTGCTCATCCCTCTCATGGTCATGTCTTGCCAATGTTGAGAAGTTTCAGACATTTCTGAAGCTTCCCAGCAGTGACAACTTTTGTTGCCATGTTGGAGGGATTTTCTTCTGTATCAACCTTTTCCAGCTTGATTGAGAATTCCTCCACCTTCTCTCTTATAAAGTGGTGTCGTACATCTATGTGCTTCGTCTTCTCGTGGTAGACAGGATTCTTGCATAGGTGAATGGCAGATTGGCTGTCAGAGTGTATTGTTGCAACTTCTTTAAGAACTCTTAACTCCTTTAGTAGTCCCTGCAACCAAATGGCTTCCTTGAAGCCTTCTACTCCAGCTATGTACTCTGCCTCGGTGCTAGATAAGGCCACTACTGGTTGTAGTTGTGCCTTCCAGCTTATGCAATTTCCACCTAGAGTTACCATGTATGCTGAGGTAGATCTTCTCCTATCCCTGTCACCTGCAAAATCAGAATCTACAAACACATCTAGATGCAAAAGATCAGTTTCTTTTTGTTATATTAGTCCACAGTTTAAAGTACCCTTGATATACCTCAGTAACCATTTCATGGTTAACCAATGTTCATGACTTGGATTTGACATATATCTACTCAATACACTTACTGCATGGGCCAAATCCAGTCTGGAACATATCATTGCATACATCAAGGATCCCACTACACTTGAGTATGGGATTTTGGACATTTCCATCTTTTCATCCTCTGTAGATAGGGATTGTTCTGCAGATAGCTTAAAATGAGCTGCCAAAGGAACTGGTACTAGTTTGGCCTGATCCATTGAGAACTTTTGAACAACTTTCCTGAGGTAGTCTCCTTGAGATAGACTTAACTCCTTTTGCTTCTTGTTTCTCTTAATGTCTATACCTAAAATTCTTTTTGCTTCTCCAAGGTCTTTCATATCAAACTCGGAGCAAAGCATTCTCTTGACATCTCTAACCTTATCTGGATCACTGCTGGTGATTAGCATATCATCTACATATAGTAGAAGATATACTTGTTTCTTGGTCTCTAGATCTTTGAAGTATAAACATGAATCATATTAACTTCTTTTAAAACCTGCCTTGGTCACAAAGTTATCAAAACGTCTGTACCATTGCCTAGGGGACTGCTTGAGTCCATATAAGGACTTCTTTAGTAGACACACCTTGTCACCTTTCCCTTTCTCTTCATATCCTGCAGATTGGTGCATGTAGATTGTTTCCTTGAGGTCTCTATGAAAGAAGGCTGTCTTTGTTGGGAATGGTGTCCTAGAAGCATGAGATGTAATAGGATATTTATTATTTATTTAATAAAAGAGTTTATTCATGATTTTATGTGCATATATTTATGAATATTTTATAAATATCAATAAAAATTCCATGATTATTTATGTAACCTTAAACATTGTATATAAGTGTTATATACAAGAGGATAATGTTTAAGGATAATAATCAAAAAGTAATGTTCATAATGAATTTAAATTAAAATTCAGAATCTTTAATTAAAATATTATTAATACATGTCATTCCCATTTAGAATGGAACGGTGTTATCCGCACTGTTAATATAGCGAGATATTGAATGAGTGTATTTCGCATAATGAGATTATATGGAACAAGGACACAGACACAATATGAATTTCTAATAATTCCGTTAAGTATAGAAATTCTAATTGAGTCTACCGATGGTCATATATAGGATGATCTTAATCCTGAGTTCTTAACAGACTCCTATTTATGGATTTGTGTCTTTTGATTTACTCGGTACGGATTCTGAGATCCTGAATCTTATTCCTTGTATTTTGGAGACATGATGAAGTAGGTAGCCGGGAATGTTATTACACGAGATGGAATCCATTCCTTCTTAAGAAAGAAGTAGATAAATAATTCTCTTGAGGGTTGATTCGGTACTTGGACCAATAGGAGCTCCGATTCATGAATGTGTTTTATGAATCACTGTCCATTAGAAAATCAAT